GTACTCTAAACTGTATAAATAATGTAAAATTAAATTGAATTTATTAGCCAATCAGACAAACTTCTGCCTATGAGATTAAATATGCACATAGATCTGATTAAAAATTGAATGGGTAGAAAAGTTTTGTCACAAATCTAGCTAATAACTGAGCTGTTATTGGACCGGTCATTTGACCGGTTATATGACCGGCGGTCGGTCGGTTATGAGTAAATGACCGGCAATAACCGACCGATAACCGACCGTGACCGACCGGACCCACCAATAGCCCTAACCATACCTGATCTTATGATCTGCATCAGATGAAATAAATAATCATTTAAAATTTATCGGAAAATAAAATAAAGTTAATACAACAACAGGATAAACCGCACAACTAATCCAGCAGGTGAAAGATTATACCATGACAATGACGGTAGAGTGATCCAATATTGTATAATTTTTTCATGAACTACACAACAGGTGAGGGATTAGTTGTGTAACATTAAAGGTTTCTCTTTTATACACTACTTATTTGAAAATTAATCGTCATCTATTTCTGTCAAAATTAGATTATAGCACTTTAAGAATTAATATATTTGTAGCCATGGTTTTATTATTAAAACAAAATTTTATAATTAAAAGGCAGGGTTGAAATTAGGGTTAGAATTAATGTTAGAGTAAGGTAAAATTGTGAAAGGAACGCAAAGAAGGTGAATTCATATCATATACTATATATATATATAAATTCTAATTAGAAATTAGCTAAATATGTTAATCCAGTCCAGATAATTTATTAATGCTAGTCAGATGTTATGGAAATGCCGGCCAGATAATCTTATTTCGGGATCATATTTAAAATCCCGCGCGGGTTCTAAAAAAATCCTGTGCATCACGCGCGTGCCCATCTCTAATTATGCCTATTTTTAGGTAGATTGTCTATATTGTTACCAAGTTAAATTTTGTACTGAATCGACTTCTTTTTTTATTCATATTCACCCATCGACATGTTATATGTTATAAAAAGTTTTTCGCAAAGGTACGTTTATTAAAATAATCTTCAAAATTATAGAATAAAAGTAACTTATCACAATTTAATTACGTAGGATAAGTTGGCATCTAGTAAGAAATTCTGAAAAGATCATAACAAGACTCAAAAGTACAACACCGACTAAATCCGTGAGTTAATAAAATGGTTAACTTGAACTTCACTATATATTATAGAATAAAGGCAACCAAAATATTGCAAAAAAAAAGACTTTTTTCAGGTTAAAATGAAAAACTTGCTTATATTTGGGTCAAATATTATTAATAAAACATAATACTCTTGGCCAACATTCAGGCGAGATTGCCTTTTTATTTGGTTGCTTTTAATCAGTAAAGTATGGTGGTTATTTAAGTCAATGAAAATTATTAAAAAATTCAAAAAACCTTTCAAAAAGATAAGTGCGGCTAAAATTGCAAGTTAGTAAATGATCATATTTTTTAACTCAGTCGTAATTAAACCTATTGTTGGTTTCTAAAATTATTTGAATTAAAAATAAAAAGTTACAGAAAATTCAAAAAAGAACAAATCGACTGAAAAGATATGTACAACACTGAATAAATCTCATAGTAAGTATTTTTTTGTAATTGTTAAACCTATTCTGAAATTCTATTATTATTTAATTTAAATAAAAGTTGAAGGAAGTTCAAAAAAGAAAAAATCTTCTGAAAAGATATGTACTGCGCAGACTAAACCTTCAAGTTAGTAAGCAACTTCCTTTAACTCAATCTTTTTTTAGTTGTCATTAATTTATTTTGAATAACTAATTATTATTTAAATTAAAAACAAAAAAGAAGAATCCTTTGACAAGTTAGTTTGCACAAATTCAAAATGTAAAGCAAAACGTGATGACCAAAATGAATGTGGCGACACAGTACTTATAGAAAACCAAAAATGGCATAGAGTTTTTGGAGAATGGAAATGTACAAATTGTCAAGCTCATTGGAAAAGTGGATATGTTTGGATTCTTTTAGAAAAATTCAATTGCAAAGCCAATGCTTCAAATCTAGTTAAAACTCAAGATTATTTTTGTCAAAGTTGTAAAAAACATAATTGTAATAGTAAACTTGGTAAATTGATTAGGTGGAAACTTCTTTCTAAATCAAGTACAATGAATGATTTACCACATCTACCTGATCTCTGTGCAAAATGCAAAGCAGGTATACCTTGTCAGCGCCAATAATTCATTTAAAGTATAGTAGCTATTTGAGCTTGAGATCACTACAAGATTTGAATTAGTTTTCATTATATAATTAAATATATGAATGAAAATTAATTTTGTATTTATAAATTCTAAAAAACAGCTTTGCATCCTTTAACTCTAACACTAACAAAACTCTAAATTTATATTTAAATTTAAAAATTTGTGATTTGTGTGATAAATACTGTTAAAATTATTTTTATAAAAAGGGGTTAAGTCCCATAGCTTAGTTGTTAAGCTCTCATCCCCCCACAGACAAGGTCAATGGTTCGAGTCTGGCTGGAGGTAAAAT